TAGCTGGATTCTAGCAGTTGAGAAGTGAGCTGGGCTCTTGCTCTAGGTTGGTTTTGTTTTCTTTCTGCTTCCTCTAGTGTTGTGTCAATCTTTAAAAATTGTTGAAAGGTACCAGTTTTGGAGAATAGACTTCCAGGGTGTCTTGGTTCCTGCAACTTTCCCAGCGCTTTCTTCTCTGCTCCTAGCCTCAGTATTCTCATCTACAAAATGAGCCACTGTGAAAGCAAGCATGGGAGACCGTTTAACCTGCAGTCGGTATTCTCATCTACAAAATGAGCCACTGTGAAAGCAAGCATGGGAGACCGTTTAACCTGCAGTCGGGGCTCTGTGGTATGCCTGCTGGGGCTCCCTCATAGCCAATGCCCACCTCCTCTGCCTGCTGGGTTAGGGCATTGGCAAACATCCTCAATTCCTTTCCCAGGAGGCAACCTCCCTGCATCTGAAACCCTTCTCTCCCTCTCCTCTCTTGCTCCAATTAGACAAGGTGGCTTCAGGCATCATCTCCCTCTGACAAAGACTCTCTCTGATCACACTTTAGCCAGGCTCTTCTGACCTCTCTTCTTGACTAGGCCTCGACCTTGGCCCCTACCCTTGCTGGGCCTGCCTGGCCCGGTTATGGCAAAACCTCCTAAAGTCAGTTTAGAGAGACTCCCCCCATCCTTGATATCTGACCTCCCTGGCCTGCTTTCAGCAAGGATCCTGTTAAGTTGGTTTAGCAAAAATCCCCCCTACCCTCGATGTCTCCTCTTAGTGATTTTCCACTCACTGATTCCCACTCTACTCCTTGGCTGGGAATCCCCAGCTGTCTTTGCTGGATTCTGAGTTGAGCCTGATCTCTTCCTCCTATTGTCATAATCTTGACAGCTGTTGCATTCGTCCTGAATTAAAGTCTTACTTCCACAAGTGTCAGAATAATTGTTCTCTCAGACCTCCCCCCTTCCTCCTTCCCTCTTTCCTTTACCCATCTCGGTATTTCTGGCTACACTTGAGTTTCGTCCAGTATTCCACAGAGCGAGTCTTTGCACATGTCAGAAGTCACCCCTGTCCTGTCAGCGGGCCCTCCCTCTCTAGTCCACGTGGAGGAATCTGGACGCGAGTCCAGCGCTGCCCCCACTTGGTTGCAGCAAGCGCAGCTGCAGAGCAAACTTAAGTGCTCATTGTTTAAAACTTCTCTCTGCTTGTCTTGATTCTAAACCATTTCCCAGGTCTGGAGAGAGGCAGCCATGTAGAGCAGGTCTAGCTTTGAGGTGGCAGATTGTTTGTGTGATCTCCCTCCCTTGCAGTGTTCCAGCTGGGGAATCAGCAGGGTTATTCGAATCTGCAAACACCCAGCAGGCTGTCCTGGGGAGGGGGAGGGGGAGTGCTCTGTGCCTGTGCCTTCCATTTGCACACGTGGAATGCAAACCTGGCCTTTCCCAGCTGGGGAATCAGCAGGGTTATTCGAATCTGCAAACACCCAGCAGGCTGTCCTGGGGAGGAGGAGGGGGAGTGCTCTGTGCCTGTGCCTTCCATTTGCACACGTGGAATGCAAACCTGGCCTTTCTTCCCAACTTCCCCCACCCCTGGCTCGACATTGCATGGGAAAGGTGGAATAACCTCAGCCTCCCCGTGTGAACGCCACTGGCCTGTGTGAGGGGAAGTATCGCCAACCTGGTGCCCACCTGGCTGCTCATCGTCCATCCTCTCTCCATCTGTGTCCTCTCCCCTGCCTTCCTTAGCACCCTTGGTTCCCACCCTGTCATCCACTCCTTCTCCATCTCTGTAGCTCCTTTCTCGCCCCCACGCCTTTTCCAGCCCTCACCCACTTGCACCAACTCTCTCCCCACCCTCTCCTTTCTCCTCTCCATCTCCCTCTCCTGGCCCTGCAGCGATTCCATCCTGCCCCGCCTGTCTCCTGTCATCCCCTCTCTGTTCCTTCTCCCAGCCAGTCTCTCTCCCCACATCCAGATGACGTCCATGAGCTCTGTCTCAGCTCTCTCCCTCCCACTTTATCGTTCCACCTGTTCCCCCAGTACCGACCTAGGGCAGGCTCTGCACACTCCTTGTGCTGCTCAGGGGTACAGAAAGGGGCATCCCCTGCAAAGAAGAAACACGAGGGTGAGTTACCTTGTGGGTCAGCAAACTGCCCCTCCTTGGGCTTAGGGAAGGGAGTGCCTCCTGGTGGGGGAGGGGCAGCCATCTGCCAGTGGACAGTCAGAAGGGAGTCATGATCAGATTGTACCCGGAGCTGGGATACTGACTTCTGATCTGCTCTGTGGGCTGTTCACCTCCTTGTGCAGGAGACAACAGGACCTGCCTGGCTAACTTCTCCCGGTTGCTCTGTAGCTCCAACCAGCTCCTGTGGGTGACAGGTGAGCCTGCCTTAGGGACTGAGAGTGGAGAGGTGGTGGCACCTTCTAAGCCAGGCACTCATCATTTCCTTTGACCTGCACAGGTACCCTTTGCAGTAGGGAATACTGTATCTGTTTTACCCACGAGAGATTTGAGGCTTAAGCATCCCACCGTCCCAGGACACCAAAGCTGGTAGTGATGGAGGTGGGCTTTGAACAGAGCTCAGCTGATCTGGAGACTGGAGCTCTTTTTGGCACACCTCACTGCTATGTGTGAGTGAGGGTTGCTTTGTGTTTCCTCATTGCTTTGCCCTTGATTCCACGTTAGTAATGGAGATGTCAGCAATAGTGTCATGGGTGGAAAGATTAAAACCTCTGCTGCTTGCCGTGGGCTCAGGTGTTACCAGGGAAACCTCACTGGCTGTTGGCTCAGTCCAAGCATCAGGAAAGTAACATTCACCTGTGCTGGGTTTTCCTCTCTGGGCTCTCTTTGTAGAAATCCAGGATCTTTTCTTTCTCTGACCAAGTGTTAATAACGTTCACTATAATACCTTTTCCTTACTGTTTCTCCAGAAACCCTTTTCAGAGCTGAAGAGCTGATATACTTCCTCCTTTTCAATAATAACAATTTAAATGATTTGTTTCCCTTTTTGCTCTGTCTTCTAGAAAGTTCAGAGGCAATTATTATTATTTAAAGCAGCACAAATGTATCATCTTACAGTTTTGTGGGTCAGAAGTCAGACACAGGTCTCACTGGGCTAGAATCAAGGAATTGGGAGGTCTGTGTTCTTTTCTGGAGGCTCTGGGGAGAATCTATTTCCTTGCCTTTTCCACCTTCTAGAAGCCACCCCCATATTCACTGGCCTCCCACATTCCTCCATCTTCAAAGTGAACCAAACTGCATCTTTCTGACCCTTCCTCCATAGTCACATCTCCCTCTGACCCTACCTGGGAAGGGACATCAATTTTAAGGACCCATGTGATTAGATTGGGCCACCATATAATCTCCCCATCTTAAGGTTGGTAATCTTAATCATATCGACAATGTCCCTTTAGGCAGGGACAGTTTTAAAGATCAGTAATTCTAATCTTAGATTACACTAAGGAAATCACTGATTACTAATGAAATAACTCAGAGTATAGGTATGAGGAAGTTCATTTCAGCATGAGTTATAAGAGAAAATAATTGGTAATGAACTAAATGTTTGATTGACATAAGGATTTAGTTAAATAAACAAAGTATAATATAATCATGAAATAGTAACCACTAAATATAATAGCAATGTTCCTGGCACATAGTACATCTTCAGTCTACATGACATTTGGTTGCCTTTCCCTGTGTCACTGACTTTTGTAGTTTACAAAGCATTTTTATATCCTAGCCTGATTTTATCCTCATAACTAATGATTGTGTTTTAAAGATAATAAAAGTGAGAACAGAGAGGTTTAGTAACTTGTACCAGGTCACACAGTGAGTGGAGGAGACTGAATTAGAAACCAAGGCCACTGCCTCCAGCCCCAGTCATCCCTCCATGCTGCAGCACCAAACTATTCCTCCCAGACCAGCTCCCCACTCCACACTTCAGTCTCTGACATGCCAACTACTTCTAATGAGATGGCTATATGTGTTATTAGTCTGACAACAGAAGTGTGAGCACATGCACGTTTATTTGCTGGCTAATAGACTTTTTCCTCATTTGAAAGAGTGCTAGACATTTGGATGTAAGAATGGAAACATCTGGGTGAAAGCAACAAACATCTGGATGTTTGCACATGTACTATACCAGGATGCAAGAATTGCAAGCATCCTGTTATCTGGACACTAAACTCCAGGAGGCAAGAGCAGTGAACAACTGGCAAACATATTGAACATCGGGGTGAACGTTTTCCAAACATCTGAACTCTTCTGGACACTGTCTTTATTGCTGGACTGGATGTTTCTAATCTGCCCTCTACATGTGTAGGCACCAAATAGTATTCCCAGAACAACACTCCTTTGGCTCCTAGTGGAGTGAGTGAAGTGTTTCTCATTAGGATGAGAAATGCAGAGATGGTCCCAGGCAGTCCAGGTGAGTCCCTGAGGCCACCCCTCCCCTGGCACTGACCTGGCATGTGGACCATGCGGCAGTTGCAATTTTCCACGATGTAGCGGGTCTCACAGTCAATTCTACAGGCGGTGATGCTGTAAACAGGAAAGAAGTCGAGTCCCATCTCTGAGGATCGGCACTCACCCCACGGTGGGGGCAGGTATGTGAGCTGCAAGACAGAGAGGAGGGGCAATGGTCAGCCCTGGAGGATGCCTCAGACTCAGTGGCTCTTCATTCACTTATTCAATCAACAAACAATTAATAAGCATCTACTACATGCAATCTCAACTCCACTGACCTTACAGGCCTTTGACATCTGGCTTCAACACTAGTTTTCCTACTTCATCTTTTATAGCTTTCCCATAAATGCTGTTCTCCTCAGGGTCTCTTAACCATATTGTGTGTTTTCCCACTTCCATACTTTGTCACATCACATCTCTTGGAATGACCCAACTAAATTTCTTGGCTTGGCACATTGGAACCCCAGACTTACACCGGGTGTACAATACCTACAGCAGGATTCAGGATGAAATGGCCTTCGGCAGAAGAATCATTGATCTCTTGGAATGACCCAACTAAATTTCTTGGCTTGGCACATTGGAACCCCAGACTTACACCAGGTGTACAATACCTACAGCAGGATTCAGGATGAAATGGCCTTCGGCAGAAGAATCATTTCTATTTATTATCCTTGGCCTGGGCTAGAGCAATTCTACAGTGTCACGCTGTGGATGACACCCCTCTGGGGAAAATGATACTCCCATTCTCAGAGGTCTGATGGCCATAAGTTTTCTTCCAGCATCTTGGTACTTGCCTGGTGGGGATGGGGAGGGTGAAGGTTGAGGGACCTAATGTTTGTTAAGCACTTACTATGTGTTAAGCCCAAGTGAAGTCTTTTACACCTATTTTTCAAGATTGAAGAATAAAAAATACAGTAAAATGTACAAATTTTAAGAGTTCTGACAAATGTATACACCTAAATAACCACCCCATCAACCAAAATATAGGACATTTTTATCACCCGAGAGTTCCCTCCTGTCCCTTTCCAATCAGCCCCCCACCTTTCCAGACAATCACTGTTATGATTTCTGTCACCATAGGTTGGCTTTTCTTGTTCTCAAACCTCATTTATGAAACCTTACACTATTCGCTCTTTTGTGTCTGGCTTCTTTCACTGAACATAATGTCTTTGAGATTTATCCACGTGGTTATGAACATCAGGAGTTCATGCCTTTTTATTGCTGAAGAGTTTTGCACTGTATGAATACACCGTCTTTTGTGTCTGGCTTCTTTCACTGAACATAATGTCTTTGAGATTTATCCACGTGGTTATGTACATCAGGAGTTCATGCCTTTTTATTGCTGAAGAGTTTTGCACTGTATGAATACACCATGATTTGTTTATGCATCCACTTGATGATGGGCATTTGGATCGTTTCCACTTTTGGGTAATTCTGAAAAAGACTCTACGAATATTTATACATAAGTCATTTTGTGGACGTATATTTTAATTCCTCTTGAGTAAATGGCGAGAAGTGAAATAGCTAGTTCATAAGATAGGTGTAAGTTAACTTTATAAGAAGCTGCCCAACTGTTATCTAAAGTGATTCTACTCTTCATACTCCTGCCACTAGTATAGGAGAGTTCCAGTTACTGTGAAATCTTGACTTGTCCATCTGTTTAATTTTAGCCATTCGTGTAGGTATGTAGTTGTATCTCGTTGTTTCAATTTGCAGTTCCCTGATGATGGATGACATTGAGCACAATTTTATGTGTTTATTGGCCATTCATATACTATCTTTTGTGAAGTGTCTTTTTAAGTCTTTTGCCCATTAAAAAAACCTTGCTTTTCACTTTTATTATCGAATTGTAAGAATATTGAATTATAAGAATATTGAATAAATTCTCCAAAGGATTTAAATCCTTTGTCATATAAAGGTACTGTGAATATCTTCTGTATACTTCCTGTGTCTGTGGCTTACCTTTTCATTTTCTTAATGGTATCTATTTTTCCTACTTTAAAAACTGACTTCGTTAAGATAATTTATATACAATAAAGTGCATCAATGTTAATGTACAATTTAATGAATTTTTTACAAATGTATACACCCTGGTAACAACCACCATCTCAAGACACAGAATATTTCCATTAACCCCTAAAAGTTCCCAATCTACAGTCACTCCATCCCCTCAACTCTCAGGCAACCAGGGATCTGCTTTCTGTCATTATAAATGAGTTTTGCCTGTCCTAGGATTTTCTATAAGTAGAATGATACAGTATATACTCTTTTGTGTCTGTCTTCTTTCTCTCAGCATTCATGTTTTTGAGATTCCTTCATGCTCTTGCATGTAATCAGTTCATTCTTTTTTATTTTTGAGTTTTATTTCTTACTTTCTCATCTTTATTTTTTTTATTTCTTTTTCTTGCCTCACTGCATTGGCTAGAAACTGCAGTGTAATGTTGGAAAAAAAATGGAGATGGAGAATATCTTTGCCTTGTTCCTGATCTTAGGAAGAAAGGATTCATTATTTCACCATTAAATATGTTAGATATGTATTTTCCTTAGATGCCCTTGTCAGATTGAGAAAGTTCTGTCCTATTTCCAGTTTGCTGAGAGTTTTTTTTATCATCAATGGGTTTTGTGTTTTGGCAAATGTGTTTTCTTTTTCCATTGAGATGATGACATAATTTTCTCCTTTATTCTGTTAATATGGTGAATGATATTGATTAGTCTGCAGATGTTGAACCTACCTTGAATTCATGGGATAAACCCCATTTGGTCATGATTTATTATCCTCTTTATATATTATTCTGTGTGTTTGCTAATATTTTGTGGAGGATTTTTACATCTATGTTCATGAGGGATATTGTATTTAATTTACTTTTCTTGTAAAATCCTTGTCAAGTTTTGGTATTGGACTTGTGCTGACCACGTAAAAAGAGTTATGAAGTGTTTCCTCTTCCTCTGTTTTCTGATTTTGTATAGACTTGGTATCATTTCTAACTTAAAAGTTTAATAGAATTTACCAGTGAAGCCATCTGGACCTAGTGACTGTGTATGTGCATGTGAAGATTTTAAATTACTTTAATTCCTTTAATACATACAGAGACATTCAGATTTTCTATTTCTTCCTGTGGGAGTTTTGGTAAGTTGTGCGTTTTTGTTCCCGAAGGAATTTGTTCATTTCCTCTAAGATTTAAAATTTATTAGCATAAAGTTGTATATATTTCCTCATTATTTTTTAATGTCTGTAGTATCTGTAGTGATGTCTTCTCATTCTTGATATTGATAATATATGTTCTCTCTCTTTTTCCTTATTGTTATTGATTTCCAATTTAGTTATGCTTTTGGTCAGAAAACACACTCCCCATGACTTTATTCCTTTAAAATTTATTGAGATTTGTTTTATGGTCTAGAATACAGCCTATCATGGTGAATGATTCATGTGCATTTAAAAAGCATGTGCATTCTATATTGTTGGTGTAGTGTTTTATAAAAGGCAATTAGATTAAGTTGTTTGATAGCGATGTTCAAATCTTCTGTACATTTACTGATTTTTGTTCTTTAACTATTCATCAATTACTGATAGAGGATTGTTGATATCTCTAACCGTGGCTATGGGTTTGTCTATTTTTCCTTTTAGTTCTGTCAACTTTTGCTTTGTGTATTTTCGAAACATCATTAGGCACATACATATTTAGGGTTGTTACATCTTCTTAATGAATCAATCCTGTTATCACTGTGAAATAACCCTCTTTATCTCATGTAATATCCTTGTCTTGAAGTTTATTTTGTGTGGTATAATAACAGCAGCTTTCTTATGCTTACTATTTATCTTTTTCCATACTTTGCTCTTTTTTTTGTTATTGCTGTTGTTCACCCCTTTACTTTTAACCTGTCAGAATCTTTATATATCTATGGTATACATCTTGTAAAGAGCGTAAGTGAGTGTAGATCTTTTATCCTATCTGTCAATCTCTGCCTTTTAATTAGAGGGTTTGACTTGTTTACACTTAATGTAATTCTTTATATAGTTGGGTTAAAGTTACCATCATGATCTTTGTTTCCTATTTGCCCCCACTGCTATATTTTCTTTTGTTCACTCTTTCTGACTCTTTTTGGGTTGAGTATTTTTTTAGTAGTTCATTCTATTCCACTATTGGATTTTGATTTATACCTCTTTGTATTATTATTATTTTTAGTTGTTGCTCTAGGATTTATAATAGTCATCCTTAACTTATCAGTCTACCTTGAATTAATATTATACCACCTCACATACAATTATATTTATATTTCTTCTGTCCTTTGTGCTATTGCTGTCATATATTTTACTTGTACATCTATTATAAACACCATAGCACACTATTATATTATTTTTGCTTTAGGTAGCCCATCACATACAATTATATTTATATTTCTTCTGTCCTTTGTGCTATTGCTGTCATATATTTTACTTCTACATCTATTATAAACACCATAGCACACTATTATATTATTTTTGCTTTAGGTAGCCCACTGAGCTTTTAAAAAGTTAAGAAAAAAGAGAAAAGATGTATTTTATATTTACCCACACATATACCATTTTATTGTTCATCACTCTTTCTGTAGATCTGAATTTTGTATTTGATATCATTTCCCTTCAAGCTGAAGGACTTCTTTTAATATTTCTTGTAGAATTTCTCAAGGGTTTACTTGTGGCAATTTTTTTTTCAGTTTTCATTTATCTATACAATGTCTTAGTTTTGTATTTATTGTTAAATCATATTTTAGCTGTAGATAGAATTCTAGGTTGATAAATATTTTCTTTCAGCATTTCAAAAATGTTATTCCTCTGTCTTCTGGCCTCCGTTGTTTCTGATGAGAATCCATCATAATTGTTTTTATTGTTCCCCTGTACATATTATGCCTTTTTCTCTCCCTCTGACTGCTTTAAAGATTTTCTTTTTATTATTGATTTTCAGGATTTTAACTATGTCATGCCTAGATGTGGTTTTCTTTGCATTTATCCTGCTTGGGGATTGCTGAGGATCCTGGATCTGGGGAATGATGCATTTGAACAAACTTGGAAAAATATTAGCCAATATTTCTTCAATTATTTTTCTTCCCTATTCTGTCTCTCCTCCTTTTCTGGAATACCAATTATATGTATGTTGGATTACTTGATACT